TTTGACCCAACCCCAAACGGTACCGAGCCCAAAATACAAATGAACACCATGGGGTGGCACAGTTAGAATATGTGTGTTTGGCAAAACTTCATCAGGTGATGAATCGTAGGCATAATGAAAGATATAGAGATAGTAAATATTGATTTGGTTATTCTTTGAGGGTCCAAAAGCGTGGCCTTCCTTTCCCTTTAGCCCAACCCCAAACGGTACCGAGCCGAAGCTATACATAAACACCATGGGGAGGCACAGATAGAATATGTGTTTTTGGGCCGGAAAACCTTCATCAGGCCACACTTGAATCTATATATATATATAACAGAGAGATAGCAAGCATTGGATGGCTTATTTTTTAAGGGCACTTCAGTACACTCCAACAAGGGGTGGCCTTCCTTTCGCTTTGACCCAACCCCAAACAGTACCGAGCCCAAAAGATGCATGAACACCATGACAGTTAGAATATGTGTGTTTGGCAAAACTTCATCAGGTGATGAATCGTAGGCATAATGAAAGATATAGAGATAGTAAATATAGTTCTGCTTATTCTTTGAGGGTCCAGAAGCGTGGCCTTCCTTTCCCTTTAGCCCAACCCCAAACGGTACCGAGCCCAACATACAAATGAACACCATGGGGTGGCACTGTTAGAATATTTGTTTTTGGCAAAACTTCATCAGGTGATGAATCGTAGGCATAATGAAAGATATAGAGATAGTAAATAGTGATTTGGTTATTCTTTGAGGGTCCAAAAGCGTGGCCTTCCTTTCCCTTTAGCCCAACCCCAAACGATACCGAGCCGAAGCTATACATAAACACCATGGGGCGGCACAGATAGAGGCGGAAAACCTTCATCAGGCCACACTTTAATACATATATATATAACAGAGAGAGATAGCAAGCATTGGATGGCATATTTTTTGAGGGCACTTCAGTACACTCCAACAAGGGGTGGCCTTCCTTTCCCTTTGACCCAACCCAAACGGTACCGAGCCCAAAATACAAATGAACACCATGGGGTGGCACAGTTAGAATATGTGTTTTGGCAAAACTTCATCAGGTGATGAATCGTAGGCATAATGAAAGATATAGAGATAGTGAATATTGTTTTGTTTATTCTTTGAGGGTCCAAAAGCGTGGCCTTCCTGTCCCTTTAGCCCAACCCCAAGCGGTACCGAGCCGAAGCTATACATTGTACACCATCGCGGGGCACAGTTAGAATAGTTGTTTTTGGGCCGGGAACCTGCGTTAGGCAATTAATCGTATGCACACATAAACATATATATATATATATGATATACATAATAGATATGGATTTGCGTTTTTTGAGGGTACCCCACTATTCTCCAAAAAGGGGTGGCCTTCCTTTCCCTTTAACCCAACCTCAAACGGTACCGAGCCCAAAATACAAATGACCACCATGGGGTGGCACAGCTAGAATATGTGTGTTTGGGCCAGGAAACCTTCATCATGCATTCAATCGTATGCAAATATATAAACATATACAGATTATACATAGAGAAAGTAAATATGTGTTTGCTTAGTTTTTGAGGGTACCCCACTATGTCCCAACACGGGGTGGCATTCCTTTCCTTTTAACCCAACCCCAAACAGTACCGAGACCACATATAAATAAATGAGACAGTTCGAGTAATCCCAAATCTTGACATGCCTGTGCAAATCCTTGGAAGTGGAACAGACAAATAGAATAATCTGTGTCAGATACAAAGGGTGCGAGGTCTGGAAAATGACCTTTGAAAGGAGGTATTGGCAATACTAAGTTTAGTCCTGGCAGGCCAAAGCAAGTCGAGAAGTGTGTTATCAGAACAGGTGTATTTTGAAAATCTACGGCCCTTGCTGAATTATTCTATCTGATAAAAATACTAAATTTACTATTGGCAATACTAAAGTTAGTACTGGCAATACTAAATTGACTACTGCGGCAAAGCTACCCCCTCTTCTCGTAGCCAAAAAAACCTTCCAGGATACGTTTTTAAATAAAGAACTTTACAGTTCAAATCCTTGCTAAACTTTACTAGGCTTAGCATTGGCAATCCAAAGTCTATATTGGCAATGCTAAATTCAGTACCGGCAGCAAGAATGTCCTGCCAATACTAAATTTACTATTGGCAATGCTAAAATTAGTACTGACAATATACATGAGTACTATTCTCAAACTAGTACTGGCAATGCACAATTAAGTACCGGCAATGCTAAAATTAGTCCTGGCTCCGAGGACCTGATGTTACCGCCCGCGTGCAACTCCAAAGTTTCTACCTTTGAGCTTTTCGTGAAAGCGTTCGAGCTTCCCCCCCCCTCTAAGCTCATTTCTCACTAGCAATGCTACATGGACATCTGAGACATCACCATCTGCTGTTATTATTCACTTCTTCTTCCTTGACCCCATGCATCTGCGCGGCTCGATGCCATCAAACGTTTCGACGCCATCAATTGGTGTGTGAAATTGCCTTGTGACCCAGCTTGCTGAAATATTCTGTGAAATATTCTGTCTGACAAAACATATTCTATCTGAATTATTCTAAGTGTATGCTATCTGAATTATTCTAAGTGTCACTTGTGAACCTAAATATTCTAACTGATGTTTTGGGATATTTTTGGAGTAAAATATATTCTAAGTGAGGATCGGACGGAGTAAAATATATTCTAAGTGCTAGCCCGATACTATATGTGGGTTTGCTTTGCTGTCAGTGGCTTGTCAGAGAATTTGAGCGTTGTGGATCCTGCCCACAACTCTGGAGTTGTCCTTGGCGATGTTGCCTTGGTTCGCCAGTTATCTTCCACTGAAGACACTGGTCCCTTTGTCTCTGCCTGATATTTTTGGCTACTCTTTGAGTGTAGACCTGTGCATCGGACAAGTTTTGCTGGTGTCAGGCGCGAACAGCGCTCTCCTCTTGGACACATGAAATCTATGGAGTTCTTTGGTGGTGCCGGCGCCGGCGCTGGAACTATGGGTTCCTTTGATGCTGCTTCGGCTGGATATGATGCGGCTAGCAGTGATGGATACGCAAAGAGTTTGGTCTGGTCGTCGTCGAACGCCGTATCTGCCGTCCTGGCGTCGCGTTGTTTGCAAAAGGCTGCTAAATCAAACAACGCATGACCACTATTGGATAGCGGGTTGTCGTATCATAGCGGAAGCCGCACACGTGATCGTCACAAGGAGGAGTGTGGTCAATCGTCATGTGAAGGTTCTGCGTCTGGAGCAAATCGGGACTTGTCCTGGCTCTAGCATACCGATGAAAGTTAGCATAGGTGGTGATGTGTTGAACAACAGTCGGAGGCCCGTGCCTCATCTGGTGAGGGTATGGTTCAATTGCCTTGATGAATCGCTCCACTGCACACACCAACTGCCCATGGACTTGGCACAATCGTTGTCAAGAATAACACGGGTTTTGTTTTCGGCCTTTTTGATGATGGGCGCCGTGAGTTTACTGGCCAAAGCTTGAGCCCGATTTCGCGGAATCATGTCATAGGTCAGGCCATTTTGGGTGACCGTGCTTCTACTAGTGTCTACTTCTGCGGCTGATTCTGCTAGATATGCCATGTAGAAAAAATGGTTCTGCCGATATGTTGACAGGAGGCTGTGTGGCTTCCTGTGCTTCGGCAGCATGATCCACGGCGAAGGTCTTGGTCTTTCCTTCTCCTTGTCATCCTTGCCTGGATCTTTTGTCTTGCCCCTTCCCTTATTGGTACCAAGGTTGTTTGTGGCTTTCCTACCCTACCCAGTGGGATTGATCGGTGGTGGAATCGTTGGCCACGTTGGCCTTGCCGCCTGGCTGTGGTTTCCTGACGGGTTGGCAGCGTGAGACTGCGACGTTGAAATCTTTTGGGAAAAAAAGCATCGGTCTTCCAGCTGCCAGAATGCTTCTTCATCGTCTACTGGACAAAAACCTTCTGCGCCGTCTTCGTCTGTGTGTAGACGTTGATAACGTGTGGCAGCCCCCAAGCGAACTGCACACGGAAGTGGGCCAGCCGAAGCCAACCCACCCTCCCAAGCAAGGGCACTCAAGCCTAAAGCAAGACATCGAGAATGCCCACCAACCACCAACCAAGGGGGGAAGAAAAAACCAAAACCCCCAAAAGCGACCATTAACCACACGACTAGAGAGGCCAGTCGCAGCGTGCAGCCAAGCAGCCAAGCGCAAACGAAGGTCAAGGCGCCGCACTCATGGAGAAGGGCTATGAGCCGCGCGCCAAATGGCCTTCTGAGCATGCACCAACCAACCATGCACCGCGAACATGTCCGCATCTTGCCCGTCAACCACCCACCCGAAGCGAGACGAAAGGAACTTGCCGGGCCGGGGAGGGATAGGAGTATTCACGGGTCTACGGGGGCAAGTCCACACAATGTGATCGAACGTGCCAAGCTCACAACACCCCTGCCAAACGCATTCCTGCGAAGGCCGATCAGGACGGCGGCCACCAAGTGCAGCAGGCGAGAAGTTAGCGCCAGTGCGCACGGCGCGGGCCTCCGGACCAGACGCCACAAACTTTCGCGTGCGATCCCAATTGATGCGACCGAAGTAGCCACGCGCAAAGCAGTCCAAATCAGCATCACGCCGGTCGGACGCCATATGTTGGCAAAGGCACCAGGCCCGCCAAGCATCACGGATAGCATGTGGCCGCGCGGGCCTCACCCTGGCGATTCAGATCCAAGGTGCGTCCGCTCAAGGCATGCCGCCAGCTCCAAGGTCCAGGCTCAGTCCAACCATGCCATATCAACCAGCCGGACAAGGCCTTCGCAGGCGACCCAGCCTGCGTGATCAAGGGCCGGCGACGCCTCACCCGAGTCAACACCCCAACAAGCTGGGTGGCAAACAACACATCCAGACGCATGCCGCCGCCAAACAAGGACAGCGCTCCACAAGCCTTTGCTGATGTGCAGCGGAGGGGATCGCGCGATCCACCCGTAGGCAACAAGCGAAACAGCGAACATGCGACAAGCTCTCAAGTAGCGCTCAAAGGGCAACCGCACACAAGCAAGAAGCGTCAAGCATTTACGACAGTCAGCAACACGCCCAGCCTCTTTGGGTGTCAACCACGCCTACCAACCCTGGTGCAACAACCAAGCAACTCCACATCGTGCCGCGTCTGCTCAGGCAAGGCCCGCCGGAGAATAGCCCGGCGAGCCGGCGTGGACGCAACCGCAGCCGCCTTCCTGGCGTTCTCCTGAAGCCCCACGGCAGAACCCTGCTTCCTTCATAATCTCAATGCTCAAGGGTACAGAAGGTTTGGGATCTACTTCCACCACTAGGATGTTTATACCCTGAAAAAGGTTCTGGTGGCAATGACAAGGACGTAGGGCCTGTATTTATTGTCTCATACGGCTCATACGCATACTGAGGAAGCTGTGTGCCCCCGAGAGTCAGTGAAGATACCCCTTTCTCGTTGGCCTTCTGTCAGCTCACTCTGTATGCTGAAGAACAATGCCAGTATGTTATCCGACAAAGGAAAGGCTGTTTCTTACCTCGAACAAACCTTTCAAATTTTCTGGGCGTGTCGCACGCAGGTAAGTTGGATCGGGTGCTGCGGCTCTTTGCGGCAGACACTGTGTCATAGCTTCTACGTCAGAACCTCTCCGATTTTGCTAATCACGCGTTCTTTGATGCAGGTCATTGATTGCCTGAATAAACTCAGGACTTGTTTGGGTATATCCGGGAGCTGTATCTCAAGATGCTCGCAGTCTTCGCCGGAGAAGCTTGACTTTTCTGATAAAGGTCACGAGTTCATTGTTACCTCGGCGATGATTGAAGAAACTGGGGAACCTGCAAAGGAACACACTCTGCGCGCCCTTCAAGAAGTATCCGCGAAGAAAGTTGAGAAAGTGCTCCACTCCGTTTTTCTGGGTCTGCGAGTTTCTTGTTGCCCAGAAGTTCACGAGAGGCGGGCCGTGTCGTGCGGGCTCTATAACTGTGAATGTAGTTCAACCCCGCACCAGATCTTCATACAGAAACCAGCTAGCACGGCCGTCTCACGATGGAAGCAATTTTGCGGCCGTCGAAAGATTGATGGTCTCTTCGTGGGAACTCACGCCGTTATGACGGCTTCCAAAGAAAGCCGCTGCAAGTGGTTCTGCTTCATAGAAGTCCTCTTCACTCGACACCCTGCTTTCGGAGAACCTTGTGGTCCCTGGCTGGATCTACTCCGATGCAGAAGGTAAACATGTATTGTTGAAGTAAATGACCAAATAGACTTGTAAGGAGTGTTTGCTTCCAATAGGAACAAGCGTAAACTGTACCACAGTCAGCAAATCAGGCTTTTTCTCTATGAGCTTTACCAGGCCGTAAGCCAGGAAATAGCAATGAGATTGCTGCCTGACTGTGAATGCAGCACAAAACAAACAAAAACATCCCCGCTTAAAATGTTGAGGCGTGAACAGCCGTTCGTCGTGTCAATCCACACGCTCTGGCGCACGTGTGCTTCCTGTGGGCGGCTTTTGAATTTAAGGCGTTTCAGGCAGGCGTCGCTTGCAAGGAGCAAGAGGGCGATGGCGCCGACACCGGCACGGACGCCATGGACGGCAACGAGGCCATGGGTCACGCAAGCGTCTAAAGGTGTTCGATGTCGTGTTGAAAGTTCTGTAGCTGCAAGAACCAACATCATGGGTAATCTCGGTCTACCCACAGGTGAGCCAGGCACAAGTCAATCAAAGACTGCGCCTGGAAAAATAACCAGACCCATCAACGGTGTCCTGTTAACTTCCACAAAAAGCAACCCCAGAGAAGTACCAACTCAGACAAGGCAGCGGGCGGGCTTGCGCCGCGAGAGCAAACGGCATGAGAAAATACCTGCCGAGTTAGTACGCGCATCATCATATTATTGGTCTATTCGAAACATGAAATCAAAAAAGGCGGCCGCACTTATTTATGGTGGCTGCCCCTGCTCACCTTCATGCCCTGAGGCATGTGCAGCAGGAAATGAGACTATGGCTCACTGCCTCGCTTCTTGGCACGCAAGCAATTTCCAGAAACCCAGCAGAATGGTGAGCAACTGCCTTCAACCGCGGTAATCGTTAATTAACGATTTGCAACACGTGTTTTCCGTGCTTGAGTGAACCTAAGCCCTTCTGTAAGAAGCAGGTTCAACTGGTGTACCAAGCTAAGCACCACAGAATCAATCTATTTCCCACCACGTTTAAGCCAGAAAATCAAGCACCTCGAAAGCGACCCGAATCAGAGCCCGGCGTTAAACCGGATCAGCGCCACACTCGCACCCTTCTGCCCATCCTTGGACGCACGACATGTGGCGTTGCGAGTTGCCAAGTCGAGCAACAACAGGTTCATCTAACTGTCGGTGCGGTTGTGTTCACGTTCGCGCGTGCGGGTCAATGCATGTGTGTGGAGTGAGCGCGCGTGCCAGTGCGTGTGTGTGTGTGTGTGCGTTGTCTGTGTTCGTGCGCAGTATGTGTGTGTGCGTGTCTGTGTGTGTCTGTGTGTGTCTGTGTGTGTCTGTGTCTGTGCTCGTTTGCGTGGGTTCGCGTTCGTGTTCGCGATTGCGCGCGCGTGCGCGTGTGCTAGCGTGAGCGTGTGTGTCTGAGCGCGCGTGTGATTGTGCGAGGGGGGCTGCGCGTGCGCCTCCGCGTGCGACTGTGCGTGCGTGAGCGTGTCTTTGCGTGGCTGTGCGTGTGTGTGTGTGTGGGTGTGCGCGCGTGTGCATGTGTGTGTGTTGTGTATTCATGCCTCTGCGTTCGTGTTCGTGTTCGTGCGTGTGGGAGCAGGTGCGCCTGTGTGGCGTGCGCACGCGCGCGTGCCAGCGCGTGTGGGTGTGCATTGTGTGTTCGAAATGGTGCTCTGTGTGTGTGTGTTGGTGTGCGTTCGCGTTCGTGTTCGTGTTCGTGCTTCATTGTGTGCACGTGTGCGTGCGCGTGCGCGTGCGCTAGTGTGTGTCTGTGCGCGTGTTTGTGTGTGTGTGTGTGTCTGGGTGCGCGTGTAAGCGCGCGCGTGCACTCACGCGTGCGCACTTCCATGTTTTTTGACCTTTTCGGTTTCAGGGTCTCCCTGGCAATGGCACGTCGCAAGGCGGAGAGTGGGCTCACAAGTGTGATACATGGTGCAGTCAGTCGTTTAACGTGCTGCCATTTGTGGGGTCGGGCCACCCCGTCATTTCCTAGCCCGAAGTGGCATGACATTGGCCGTTGGCCCTTTGAAGCAACTGACTTAAGCGAGTTCTTGTTTGCGAGTAATCTGCAGACAGGTTGACCGCCTGTCCCTTCTACTTGGCAACCTCGTCAACCGTCCGTACATTTACCGATTGTTCAAACTAGGTTTCGAACCCAGCCAGCAGGCTTGCCACCTCATTGAGGTTTGGTTTCCGTCTACGGCGAAAAGTCCGAAGACGTGTGCGAACCCGTGGCAGTCAGCGCCAACCCGTGGCAGTCAGCGCCAGCCGACAAACGGCCTGGGAGGCACTTTTTGATCTTGCCTTTTCTACCCAGATGTCCTTTAAAACCACCCGAGTTCTCCAGATGTTGAAATGTATGGGCGTCAAGTTGGCGAGCAACCTCGAACAACCCTGCCGAGGCAGTCTCCTAGGTACCCTGCGCTCCGTGTGTCAATTTCGAGACATGACTTGGCCGTCCAAGCCAGTCAAATTCTCTAAGACTTTCCGGCCCAATATAAAGTTTGGATGACTCAGGTCGTTCGGGAAAACAAGGATGGGCTTGCGCCGTTTCACTTTGCCGTCCGTCACTGTTCGCAAAGCGGCTTACCAGAGCATCCAAGCATTTCTGCACAACCATTTTGCGAGGGAACAAACATTTGAAGCCCAATCGCGTCCGTGTACTTGTTTGAGGTTAGTGCAGAACCATATTGCAAGTGGCTTTGAGGAGTTTGAGACACACCTGTCTAACCTCAACGCCGCCTCGAAGTTCTTCCCGGGAAAACGTAAGATTTTCAGCGAACGCCCAGATTCAAAATCATGGGCCAAAGTTCATGGACTACCCAAAGTGGTCAATGAACAGTTCGAAGTCCTTCTGGAAGACCAGTGGAGCCCACATGTCAACAACCTCCGGTCGCAGCCTCAAGACGTCCAGAAAATCAAGAGCAAATTTGCTAGCCAGCTTGTGACACATTGTGAGGACCATCATCCTCATCATTTGGCCGGGTTGTGTCCAAAACTTTATGTGTGTAGACATTGCAAGACAGGAAAGCCCTGCCACAGTCCGAGTCACAGGCAGACGGGACTTTTATGGAGGTCCACAAACTAGGTACACCGCCCATAGTAGCCCGTGCAATATCGTGCGTTTTTTGGCTTCGGAGCAACCTGTCGAAGCTGCGATTACAGGGGGACAAGGAGAGCCCCGTCTGTCCCTCATGTATAATGCGCCGAGACAGTGGGGAATTTCTTGCGTTCCCGAATCTCACTGGCACGCTGCTTTCAGAAGCTCATTTTTCCAGCCCCCAACTATCGTGTGTCAAGGATTTAGTCCCTCATGTAAAATGGCCGAGACAATGAGAATTTCTTGCGTTCCCGAACCCCACTGGCACGCTCATTTTTCCAGCCCCCAACTATCGTGTGTCAAGGATTTTGCCATGTTCAAGACTGCATGTTGCCTGGGAACCGCATGATGAAATCTCCTTTCAAAAGCCGACGGGGGGCAGGGGTCCTTAGTCTGCTCTTCACCCAAAAATCCCCAAAAATCTTTGTCGGTTTTTCGGTTGCAGGCAACACACTGGCAGGTTCAAGACTGCATGTTGCCTGGGAGCCGCATGATGAACTCTCTTTTCAAAAGCCGACGGGGGGAAGGGGTCCTTAGTCTGTTCTTCACCCACAGAGACGAGACGTAAGCCAGACAAGCCTGTTGGGTCTCGTCTCGTCGCTTAGCGACGAGACAAGACCCAACAAGCAGAAGCCACGCCGATGGAAGCAGAGCAAGGGCGCAGCAGATGACGACTCCAGGATGCACACCAGGTGGACCACAAGAAAGGAATGTAGGCGCCTAAAGCCGAAAAGTCAAGCGGAAACCTATGTGGGCATACCGTGACAGCAAACACAAAGGACGAGATGGGGTCCGCTGGTTGGCATGCGACGTCCAGAAGAGAGTCCAAGTAAGGCAGCCAAACAGTGAAGAAAGGACCCAGCGCCAAGTGTGTGGAGAAGCAATGCGAGACGCCAGCCAAACGCAAGCAAGACGATGAAGGCAAACGCTAGACGCACGCCTTCTGACACCAAGCTACAGCAAAACAAGACAGCTCAGCACACTAACAGAGAACATCACACACCCCACAGAAACAGGAAATAAAGAAGTTCTTGTCAAGCAAACTCGAAGAAGTGACGTAATCATTCCCCCCCCACCCCCCGCCCCACCACACCAAAAAATCAAGAAAGCACAAAAAACACGGAAAATGGAGTTCAAACACAAAAACAAAAAATGGAGTTCGTCCCACGGGCGGCTGTGGGCGGTGGTCCAACTACATGGATGGCTTGACATGCATAATATCGAAGGCGTTTAGACTCCAGAAGGCTCAGGAGACTTAGGCCAACTATGACCAAATCTTCAAACAAGGCTGCGCAAAGAGCGCGGCAAACGCACTGACGTTTCAGCTTAGCCCAGGCCAAGCCATCGCGGTGGCTTTGCGAGGACATGTGTCTCGCTGCGGTTTGACTCCCCCCCCCCAAGCTGCTAGCACTAAAATCAAACCTAGGGGGGATGACAGCTGAAATTGCCCTGCTGCGTGAAAAACTTGAAGTCTCTTTGTTGCGTTGCCGTGTGAGGCAGTCTTGCGCTTGCGTGAAGTGGTTTCGCGCTGCAATAAGGAACATGACCTTATTGAACATGGAAGCCCTTGAACGGAATCACTGTTCTTCCTGTCCATGACAACATGAGTCATCAAAGTAAGCGCTGTCCAAACCCATCTCTCCACCGGCGCAAAGCCACCTTGCTCTTGTGTTTGCGGTTCTTTCCAAGGCCCGTGCTCCTTGCACTTCGCCTGCCCAGCAGAGGCAGCTCCAGCTGGGGACCACGCCCAGGCGCGAGCCATAATACGGGTCACTATCCAACAAACATGTATTAGACAGGGTCGCTATCACACTTGCCGCATTCGGCTCTGCTTCAAAAACACATGATTCGTCGAGTTGGAATGCTTTTGCTTTGCCAAGACAAACTAAAGCGAAGTAGACTCGCCCCGAAAGCAGTGTATACTTTCAACCAAGTGACAACTTTGCTACCTCGGCTGCAGATTATCGTGTCAGATCGATAGGCAATGGAAGCGTGATTCCCGTATTCTTAATGAGCATGTTCCGTCCCGTCCTCAAGCTTAACCACTCAAACTCAATCCAGTCCAAGCTTATGACACTCCCACAAAAAGTTCCTTGACTATGTTCTCACAATGGATGTACCTAAAGGGTTATGTCAAAAACGTTTGGCACTTATCCCAATTCAACAGGCAATTTCTGTGGTTGACTCTTCAATCACGCTTGCGCCTGCAGTTGAGTTCCGGACAACTGACTATGTTTTTTTGCGGGCATCGTGGTATGGTGGCTTTTTTGCTTTACATGAAGGGGGGCGATGAATGTTAAGCGACTCGTTGCAGTTGCGCGAGCTACAAGTATACATTAGCAGAGCTTGACTAAGTTTGGATTTTGATGCATAGGCATACCCGGCAAAGAGGCCACGCGGCGCAACATTTGCAACGCAACTGGGCTCACGTTATCGCAATTTGTTTGCTTGCTGGTTAGAATATCTGAATATATACATTTTGATGCATATGTGTATGTGTATACATGTATGTTTGTATATATAGTTTGCGCGCAATACATGGAAGGTCGCGCATCAACACGCATATGGAACATATATTCCGTGTGTGATATTTAAAATGTATGTACTCCGCGAGGCCTGAGACCTAGTCACGAGAAATGCAGGGGCGGATGCCTGCGAATTCCAAATAAGTGCCAGGACTGTCTGCGTGGCATGGCTGTTCTTTGCGCACGGGTCTTTGGCCCTAGCTAGGACGTTTTTTACAAAAGACCTCAGATTTGGAGGTTTCAGGTTTGGTTCCCTGGGTCCCGTAGCGGACTTGCTAACTCAAGTTAGGCAACTTGCAAGTGGCTTAGCAAAACCCGCCCAAGTTCGCTCATTACATAGCAAGTAGGCCGCCCGTCCAAGTAAAGTTGATTACGATCTGACCGTAGTTCTACGGAGACTGAAATTGACTATCTGGGGACGTGATAAAAATGGATGACGATCTGACCGAAATTCTGCGGAGACTGAAATTGATTACAATCTGCC